TCTGACCCACTGCTGCTCAAGTTAACCTGCCTGCTGCTGTGATTGCTCTGTGCGAACCTGCAGCAGTAGACGTGTTAGGTTGAGCAGCAGATAGACAAATGACGGTAGAATCTAAACCCAACATGGCTGCTCAGCCATATAAAAAATTTGATGTTTTCTTAAAAAAAACAAAAAACAATACACATTTATTTAAAAAATATTATGTTTTGTTAAACACATTTATGTACATATACAAATATGAACTGGAATCTTTAACAAACCATTTAGAACTCAAACTGACTGGTAGATTACTAGCAGCTGAATTTACCTTTTTTCCATGCCATACTTGGTATCGTCTGAAATTCCACTAATGCTGGATGAGTTTTCTGCAGTATTAGACAATGCTTATGTATTATATATAAAAGCTTAGTGCCATTGTTATCATATTCTGACACTATAGTTAACTTCTTAAAGGATTGTTCACTCTAGAGGTTAGCAGAGATGTTCTTTCCCTTTTTAAGCCTATATTAAATCTGGAGCTAACTTCTTTATCTTCTAACCTCTAACAAATTATTATTATCCGATGCATGTCTTCTCCCTGAAGTAACTGATCCCTAGGGACAGATTTAAAGGCAGTGTCAAAGTATGAAATATCGCACAACAGCTAACTGTTCTGATTTGAATCTTTAAAGGGACGCTATAGTTACCAGAACAACTATAGCTTAATGCAGTTATTCTGGTGAGTATAATCATTGCCTTTAGGCTCTAAACATTGTGAGACCTTAGGCGTAACTCAAACATGAGGCCCCAACTAACACCCAAAGTGAAAAAATAGGGGTCCCATTGTGTGTGTGTATAATGAGCTTTAGTTGTATTGAAACTAGTCTCTGTATTCAGTGTTCAGAAGCTTGCAGTGTTGTGGCTTCCTGTGCCGCTGTGTTGTGAGCTCTATATTTGTAGTGTCACATCTTGCTACATTCTGCAGATATTTCTGGCCATGGGTTCTGTTATCCCGTATTCTTTTTACAATTCTTGTTTTGTTTTTCTTGGATTTTCTAATTATCTATTCTATGTCTGGCTTTCTTTATGCTGGGTTTTCTGAGTTCATTCCTTTATTATGTTCCTGGAATTCACAGGCTCCTGGATTCCTTTAAATGTTTGTTTTTTGTTGCCACACCCATTCCTTTGTCATTTATCCTTTTTGTTTCAGTGTTCCCTGCTAGCAATGGTCTTATTCCTCTGCTCATTTCCTTGCAGGTAAGTACTGTGTGTGTTTTATTGTTGTACTTTTAGTCATGCATCATTAGGCAGTTAGGACCCACCACAATTGGAGTACTTTGGCGCCGTGGTGGGCTGCATACATCTTGGCCATTTACGTATGTCTAAATCTCCAATGTTTATTACATATTTAGTACTTAGTTATTTCTCCTCTTGTTTTGCCTTGTATCTCTTGTCTTGTTTTTGTCTTGTATTCCCAGTTCATGTACAGTCCTGTCCTGTTCTTGTTTCCCTCATGTCTTGTCTTGTTATCTTGTTTGGTGCCTGTTCTAGTCTTACCTTGTTTCTAGTACTAGATACATATCTGCATAATATCAAGCTCCTGGGATCCGCAGAAGCTGTATGATTGCAGGGTATGGTTGTATAGCCTAGCAGTCGTGTATTATTATTATTATTATTATTATTATGTTATTATTTATATAGCGCCAACAAATTCTACAGCGCTTTACAGTGGGTGGACGAACAGACATGTAGTTGTAACCAGACAAGTTGGACACACAGGAACAAAGGGGTTGAGGGCCCTGCTCAATGAGCTTACATGCTAGAGGGAGTGGGGTAAAGTGACACAAAAGGTAAGGATAGTACTAGACTAATGACAGTGGCAAGAGAGGAATCAGTCGGGAGCTATTAACAGTTTAATTGATACGCTTTTATGAAGAAGTGAGGTTTTAATGATATTTTGAAGGAGTGGAAACTGGGTGAGCATCTAACGGAGGAGGGAAGTGAGATCCACAGGAATGGTGCAGCTCTGGAGAAGTCTTGAAGGTGAGCATCAGAGGTGGGAGTACGGACAGAAGGTAGACGTAAGTCTTCAGTAGAGCGTAAGGGCCTAGATGGGACATACATATGTATTAGTGAGGATAGAGAGGTGGGAGCAGAATTATGTAGAGATTTGAAAGCACGAACCAGAATTTTAAATTGAGCCCTATATCTTACAGGAAGCCAATGTAGGGACTGACAGAAGGGTGAGGTGTGGGAGGTGTGGGCAGACAGGAAGATGAGCCTCGTCGCTGCATCCATTATGGAGTGTAACGGCCCAGGTTGGGAGCACGTAAAACCACAGAGAAGCGGATTACAGTAGTCAAAGCGAGAAAGGACAATGGAATGGACCAGCACCTTAGTCGCACCTGGCGTTAAGTAGGGTCGGATGCGCGCAATGTTTTTGAGATGGAAACAACAGGATTTGGCGATAGACTGAACATGAGGCGTGAAGGAGAGTTCGGAGTCAAAGAGAACACGTAGGCAGCGAGCCTGCGTGGTGGAGCTGATGGTAGCACTGTTGACTTGGAGGGAGACAGACACAGGAGTAGCAACACTTGAGGGAGGAAAGACTAGAATTTCAGTTTTGGTCAAGTTGAGTTTAAGGAAGTGGGCAGCCATCCAGTTAGAAATAGCAGAGAGGCAGTCAGAGACACTAGTCAAGAGGGACGGGGAGAGATCAGGAAAGGACAGGTAGATTTGCGTGTCATCCGCATAGAAATGATATTGGAAGCCAAAGGAGCTAATGAGTTTACCAAGGGAGGCAATGTAGATAGAGAACGGTAGGGGACCAAGGACTGAACCTTGGGGGACACCAACAGAGAGGAGTTGGGGAGAAGAAGCAGAGCCAGAGAAAGAAACACTGAAATAGCGCTGGGAGAGGTAGGAGGAGCACCAGGAGAGAGCAATATCTTGTAGACCGATATTGCGGAGGATGAGAAGCTGTTGATGATCAAAAGTGTCAAAAGCCGCAGACAGGTCAAGGAGAATTAGGATAGAGTAGTGATCACGAGATTTTGCAACGAGTAGATAATTGGATACTTTGGTCAGTGCCGTTTCCACAGAGTGCTTAGCGCAGAAACCAGACTGATGCGGGTCTAGCAGAGAGTTAGACTCAAGGAAGTCTGTCAATCTTGCATACACAACTCTTTCAAGGATCTTGGATGCAAAAGGCAGTAGCGAGATAGGACAGTAGTTGGATGGGGAGTTAGGGTCAATGTTGGGCTTCTTTAAGATTGGGGTTATAGTTGCATGTTTGAAGGACGATGGAAATATGCCAGAGGAGAGAGAGAGATTGAGAATTTTAGTGAGAGGTGGAGAAAGAGAAGAAGACAGACTACGAATGAGATGCGAGGGAATTGGATCTAGGGAGCAGGTGGTGGGGCGGCAGGACTGGAGCAGAGCAGAAACCTCTTCCACTGTAGCGGGTGCGAATGAACGGTTTATGGGAAACAAACATACAAATTTTGATTGGGCAAAAAAGCTTTTAAAACATAATTTACCAAATATGCTATAATCCTTTCACATATATATCCTATATAATATATATGTTTTGTCCTGTGTATTGTGTGTGTTTGTATATATATCTATATATGTGTGTATATATATATATATATATATATATATATATATAGTGCCACTTTACCTAATTTCCAATCATTTCATCAATAATTTTTTTTTGGACCAGTATATTCTAATCTACCCGCTACAAACTCAATAGCCCGAAGTCCTGTATTACAGTTGATATAGGTGTTAAATACTTTCTGTCTATTTTAACTAAATAAGGGGATCAGAAATGGTGAATTGCTCCAACTTAATGAATATATCTGCAGAATCGTTCAAATATTATCTAATTGTACCCAAAAGAATCCTAAAACCTCTTTCAAGAAAAGTTGAAAGTGAACTTAAAGTAGAGATTCTTCTAGCCACTATTGGTCAGGCAGGAGGGATGACCAACATTTTGTGTATGCTAGTTAATACAAATCTTCATAGAACTTCCAGATTATATCGGGCCAAACCAATGCTTCTCCACAGAAAGGTGTGCCCACCTCAATTGTTATTGAATTCTCATCATAGAGGATCATTATCCTAATTTAGGGGGGTGAGGTTTTGCTAAATTCTTCATCATGCTGGTCTTGTTGACACAAAACATGGCAGCCTTCAAAATTCAAAGGTAATCAAAGGGAGGTGTATCTTGCAGGAATTTGACAATAGCACGAGGCATCCGTAGTGACAAATGTAAAAATTGCCATTTCTCACAAACACCAATGCTTACATTTGTTAGACTGTAGGGACAGGGTCTGTGCACCAAAACCATTTCATTAAGATGTAGTTGATTTGTACTTAGAGTGTCCCTCTAGGCATAGATGTATCAGATTAGTTTACTTTTCTCTGTAAATAATATTTTTGTTCTAAAGTATATGATTTCTGAAAGTTGTTTGGAAATTTTGGAATTAACATGCATATATCTGTATATATTGCCCAGATATGTGCACATTGCCTTGGAGGCTGATGAAAGAATAATTGTGCAAAGCACAATCCTCACTTGCATTTCATCTTGACATTAGACTTTATGGCACTGGGACCCTACGACATTTTTATTGCAGGTTATAGCATTTAATTTCTCTTCATCAGAGTTCAGATGCCATTCCTATTGTGCTTTATCTAGTCCTTATTTCCACTCTTACTATGCTTGTTTTTTTAATTCTTTATTTTTGTTGTGCATATAATAGGATACATTTTAACTTGTAGTGCCACGACAGCAGCGACAAGCGTGGTAACACTAACAGTTGAATCTGTACATGGCACGTAATAATTCTGCACATTTTTAAAGTATACAATAAACAGGCTAAACAAACATGTCTAGGTCAGATTGCTATCTTACTATGCTTGTTGTTCCAGACCCTGATTCCTGAACCTGTGGCATAACCTGACTTCTACTCAAAGCTCTCTGCCATTTAGTAATTGGACTGTTAAATTACTTCAATGTTTTGTATTTATTTGTGATTTTTTTTTCTTTGAAAGTATTTTATAAACCAGTATCCGCAGTCTGCTCTGCATAATCTTCATTGCACTCTATGCATATTTCTTTATTGCCAGTAGATGTCACCCTTACACATAAAAATACAAGACTTTTTTGAACAGGGTGAGATAACACTGTATGAGTCACTTCAGTATTGCTTCTGTGATGCATGTGAGCTACCTAGCAAATAAAAGAAATTGTAATAAAAACTATACAAACCAATACAAATCGTTATCAATATCTTAATTTTCCTGTCTTGACACTGTAAGATACTTAGACCATGAAAAAACTGAAATTTAACAGAAAAAAAGGGGGGAGGTGGGGAGACTCCCAACCCTTGTTGATTGGCAGTTTTTACCTTACATTGAAGGGATGCCTGGGTGGGACAGTGCAGTGTAGTGGTTATGGTGTTTGGATTGTTACTTAAACTCTGGGTGGGTGTATCATCATTGTTTACTAAATGCACTGAATTTGTTAGGTATTCAGAGAATTGAGCAGTAAGACTGCAGAGGCATGAGCTAAACACCAAAACAGCCTCATTAAGTTAAATTTATTATTGTGACTATAGTGTCCCTTTAATGCCACAACGCCTAAACTGGAAGCATAGCTGGTTTGGATAATTTTACCTGTTCAGCTTTTATGATGTTAAGGCCTTGATTAAATATTTTTAGATAAGTTTTTATTTTATATATATATATATATATATATATATATATATATATATATATATATATATACAATATTAATTAAAATAAATAATTTGAAAAGCTTATCCAAAAGTATTAAATCAAGGCCTACATTGGAAATTCACTTAGATTCACTTCCTGACAACTCTCAGTTTAGTGAATAAGCCTGTGCTAGTGTGTACCTATGTTAACGAGTGTCTATGTATGATGTTTAGTTATGTGTGTACTGATTATGTATATGTTTATGTGTGTGTCTAGATCACTTCTCTGGAATTCACAGAGTTGGATAAAACATTGAAAATCATTCATGACTGTGTTAATTTTTTTCATGAGATGCTCTGTTTTCTTTGAAATTCATATTAAAGATTTAGCAAATGACATCTTCATCAAGTTCAGACAAGGTAAAACCGTAAAACAATGCCACTGAAGATGAGAAATAGCAGCATTGTTTCATTTTTCTTTTTCTCTGTAAGCTTTCTCTATGCTGGCTACATGATTCACATGACATAGCTTATAACAGTGATTGACAGGGAGCTAACATGGAGGTGCCAAGTTGTGTGATTCCTACATTTGATTTGATTTTTCACACTTCACAAAGACCTATTTGTTAAATGTAGGAATTAGAAAACATTGCATTAAATTGACACATGAAAGGGACTGGGTTGGTGGTGGAATTTAGACACATGAAAAGGACTGGGGGGGGGTTGAGACACGTGGGGGGGGTGGGGGGGATTGACACATGGAAAAAGGCCCGATTTTGCACCGGGTCCTGATGGTTTCTAGTTGCAACTCTGCCTCAGAATGTATACATAAATTTTAACATTACTGTTGCTTTTTCACAAATCCGGTTTGAAGAAGCCACGTTGGTAGTGGCGAAACGCGTCCCGGTATTCTTAAGCACATTGTGGCTATTTTATTTATGTATATGAGTGTATTAAATAAATAATTGTTTTTATTTTTGAATGATCCTGGTTCCCGATATCGTTTCATTGAATGGGGAGTGCAGTCCCGAATTTGCACAACGCTATGAAATTGAGTCAATACACTTTGACTCTACACTTGTGAGTACCCACTTAAAGATCACATATATTTTCTCTGAGACATCACAAACGATATTGCGCAATTTGGTGTATTTTTATCCATCTACAGACCTCAGGAACACATTGTGAGAAGGGTTTGGGGTCACCTGTATAGACCCAGAAGTTATTTAAACTAGAGCTAAGTCGATAGCTCTCCGTTTGTGAGTTTGTTTACTACTCATTTATAATAAATGTTTAAAAGTGTGATCTATACTATGTATAATTATCTTTTTTAGACATCTTTCCCTGCCGATTTTCCAGTGACATTTTACCTCAAATATTTAAAAGGTGATTAATTCAATTTTTTTTTCATATAAGCGCTGCATTCTTAATTTGTTTTGTGTGTTTAAGTTAATAGGAATCTTTGAATGTTTGGCAGCTATTTATTATTACTAGTTATATTTGTATTTAACATTCACTTTTATATATAAGCGCTGGTTCCACTGTCTATACAAAATGTGTATTGTGCAAATGAATATTGTTTGCAAAAACTGCCTTGGCCGAGGAGTCACCGGCGCTATACAAACCACCAGGGATGTTGCATTCTGAGCTGCAGGTAGGTAGAGGATTCAGAGGCTGGCCGTGAGCACCGGGAGAAGCATGCAGAGACCAAACAGAGGAGAGAAGGGTAAACAGTAATGGAAGCCAAAGCCAAGAGTCAGGTGTAACGGAGCTCCTTGTACTCCGACTGAGTACCCTCCGTTGACGGATGCTCCTAGCGCTTCCTGAGGACTCCAAGCACTGCAGCAGACACCACAACCACCGCAGACTCCGCAACCGCCGTATCTTGACTGGAGTCTCGCCGTCTTCCTTCCACCCTGGATCAGCTTCTGTCCTCCAGGACTGTGTGGGAAAGAACTCTTCCTTCCACCCTGTATGAACCTCCAGCATCCAGGACTGTGTGTGGTGAAGACCCCTCCTCCAAGGAGAGCGTGTCAGGAACAAGCTCTTAAAAGAGCTAAGTGACTCAAGCTCAGGGAGCATGCAGAGCATAGCAATCCCCAGTGTGATTATAACAGCTCCCTCCAATAACGAGACAAGGCTACATTTAGAGGGATCAAGAAGAACTGTCAAAACCTTTATTTCCCTTGGGACCAGCCAATAGGGTCACCACAATAACATTGTTGTGAAACCTCAATAAAATCACAAACAGTCAAACCATATCAAGCAACACACAGTGACTTATCACAACACAATGGCACATTTTAAAAGGGGTGGGGGGAGACAATATTTAACAGTAAATATCTCACCTGCCTGCAAAATTAGCAATATGCAAATCTACCCGAATATGCAAATGAACCAGTCTTGCAATTCAGGTAGTGCATATTGCTGTTGCTACCAACAGAGGGCACTAGACAAGCTCCATAGCCAAACCCACCTAGTTGGTAGCAAACCTCAGCAATACAAGAGAGCAGGCAAAACATTACACAGTACACACACACACACTATAAACAATTACATTACACACACCCTGCACCTATAATGGGTACAGGGTGACTAAAACATAAGATAAATAAAGCAGCCTACATAAATAGTCTGTCTGAAGGTAGACTAGGGGCTTTAAAGCCAGATACATGAAAGAGTCATAGTCACAGGGGAGGAGGCTGGCAAGTAGGCCTCTCCAGGACCAAGTGGCGAAGGGCACTTCGTCACATCAGGTAAATATTTTCTTGCCAGGTGAAGGTGAATGCCAAATTGGGGTGCAAGGAGGTACAAAAAAATGGTCAGTTGATCAAAAATGTATGAAAGGCAGAAAATAAACTGGGTTATCAGGATAAATAGAATACATAAGCACACCACCGGACCACCAGGGTTTGCAAGCAGTGTCCCCCCTACCAGGCCAAAGGTAAGAAGGAGGGATATAAAATATATTTTTTGAATTAAAAAAAAATATATATTTTTGTCTAAATCTGCCGCTCCACACACACAATACCTCCCAACACATTCACACACTGAACCCCTCGCGCACCCTGTGCACCCCTTACACACATACACTGCACTCCTCACACAAATACCGAGCCCTTCACACACATACTGCGCCCCTCACACACACACAGAAATACATCCCAATACATTCACACACTTTACCCCTCACACCCACACTGCACCCCTTACACCCAGTGCACTCCTCACACACACAGTGCACCCCTACATGCACACACTAGATCCCCTACACAACTCTGAACCCTCTACATACACATACACACACTAGAACTCTTATACACACTCTGAATCCTCTGCAGACACATACACTAGATCTATACATAATCTGGGTCCTCCACAAACACACTAAATCACCAACACACAATAAATCCCCTATAGGCTCACATTGCACCACCTACACACACTACATTCCTGACATACACATTCTGGTTCCCCTATGCACACACTAGATCCCTTGTAAGCAAGCACACTACATTCCCTAAACACATAATTTGTACAGATCTAGACACACTACATCACCTGTAGACACATACACTAGAGGCCCTACGCACACACTCAATATATCCCTCACTTATACACACATTGGCCCTATACACTCACACTCTCTCTCACTCTCTACAGCCCCTAGCCACACATTTTACATCACAAACACAGCACAACTGAAATCGACCTATTTACATAAAGCACCACACCACAATCCTCTCATTCTACCCACATGCAATCCCACAAGCAAGTTACAAACACATACACAATATGTTTTCCTGGTCCTATTGCCCTCTGGTATCCCACTTATGGAGACACCAGAGACAAGTCACAAGCAAACACAGCGCAAGCAAGCTAATAAATTTGCTTGCGTTGCGCAGAACGTACAATACAGGGCCTTATTCTCAAGCGAACGTTTCAACAAGGCTCTGCGCATTGAACTAACATGCTCACTTCGAGAGGGGGCATGCTTGTCAGTGGTTATGACAAAGCACCCTCTCTGTTTCCCCAACACCTTCTCAACTGGCAGCTGTGATTAAAAGATCCCTATTTTCTCATTTTCCAGTTTTGCTGGATTTGCATACATGCACTCACAGATTTTTGTATTGCTAACTTGCAATGATGTATTTCTGCGTGAAGAGCTGCACTAGCTATGCAGAGGCTCTATGAACAGTAATTAAATTTTGCTTTGAACCATACAAGTACTCTCAAGGGCCCTCAGGTGCCTTGTGAGTGTAAAGGCTGCCTTGAAAAATTGTAAAGGATGACACGAATGGCTTTTGTAGAGCCACCTGGGGCTTCTGAGTCACCTATGAGCAAAATATGTTCACATCATTCCATCAATGTTTGTCCAGATGATAATTTCAATTTAGTTTCATTGCGGTATACGCAAATAATACAAATGTCAAGAAGCTTGAAAATGTCACCGTAATCAGACATGCCTTTTGGAAGACCTTACCTTTTGAGTGCTAGAATAAGGCACAACCTGTCCAGCTCTTAAAAAGTTAAATATTTCTAAATGAGAACATCGATCTTTACTTTGCAATAGAGACTGAGAGTCATACTGAAATAAAACAAAAATGCAGCCAAGATATTGTTAGGTTTGCAAAATAATAGTATTTATTCAGAGCAATATTTGACCACTGTGTCTATTTGTTTACCGAATGTAATCACTGTGTCAATATATTATCATTGTGGTGAATTGAATTGTGTGAAACAGACAATGTGAAATAATTTATGTACGTAAAACTTTCTACAAGAAATATTATTTTCCAAAACTAAATTAATTTGCTCCTGATACCATAATTTTTAAAGTAATAAAAATACATTTTCTGATGTAGCCAAAATAAGGTCCCAAGGTTAACCTATGTTTTCCAGTTTAGAAAACCACTCACCCAGGTCCCCTGCTCAGCCCTCCCACCAGCACTAGATGTTTACTTAAAGAATGTTAGTAACACCCCTTGTATTAGGTTAATGTGGGTCTACGCAATTTAAAAACGCAAAACAAACAAACAAAAAAACAGGATAAAATTCAACGCAGTGCTATCCGCTGTCCACATGAATCGATCTAACCTGTAAAGCTTGAAATGTTTCCTACCTGCCTCAATATATTCTCCAATACCTGCCGATTTGTTATAACTTGCAAATTTTTATTAATTTTCATAACATTGTCTGGACTTCAAGGCACCGTGCCTTGTAAAAATGTGTTACTCGTGAAAGTGCTTAATAAAATAATATATATATATAAATAAAAAAAACAGGAAAAAAGTGTACAAACACTCATAATGTATTGCAATAAAACATTGAAATAAAGTCTAAGTCACAAACATGGCAGATTTTAAAGCCCTTTACTATGTAATTGTTATAGACAAGCATGAATTTGCAGTGACCCCAACATCCTTGAAACTCCACAATACATGTTCCTGTATGCCTGCTTGTCCTTGTATCAGACGTTTTGAGGCAATGTATCTTTATAGAGTGCTTTTCAAGTGCAGTCTATTGAAAATCCGTAAATAGAGACCTTTGAATGAAAGACCACAATAAATCAGTCATGATCTGTTTAATATCCTGCAACCACAAACTTTAATGACATATAGAGCCTGTGGTCTCTACTGACCAGATGTATCTGGCCAATGTTAATGGACATTATAAATCACTTGTACTGTAACAGACTTTCAGAGTTAGGTAAAGGTAAAAGGAAATATAAAGAAAGACCAAATGATTGTCCTTGATTTCTGCATCTCTCATGTTCTCTAAGCTTTTAGACTGCACTCAGAGTTCTTATGTTCCCTGCTTCTTGCAGTGTTTTTTCGTAGGCTCTCCCTAAGTTAAAAGGGTATTCTAGATGTGGACTCTGTGCTCAGTGTGCCTAGTGTGGTATAAGTTCCAATAAAGGCCGGAACAATAGTTCGGGGTTGCTGCATCTCTCGTGCAGGGGGAAATCTGCTATGCAGATGGTATAGGTTCTCGCTGTAATTGCAGAAGTGTGCAAAAACATTTTTGAGACCTGAGCGGGTACTCAGCGAAGGGCAAGTTATTGAGGTTTTTTCTAAACTTTCTCATATTCTCATTTTCTCTGTTCTTGCTCCAATAAAAGGAACTATACAGGGTTATTCACTAAAGTGAGAATTCAAAGTGAATTTAAAATTTAAGGTCAAAATAGCCAAACTATTCTCTCAGTCACCTATGCTCTCCGTTCAGCTACTCTGGCCGAAAATGTGTAATTTACTTTAAATTCACTGGGAATGCAGACTTTACTGAATAACCCTGTAAATGCAAATAATGAGCAAAACATTACAATTATAATCTTCCAGATTGTAACCTCATTCAAGCAAGGTTCTTTTTCCTGTAAACATTTGTAATACGTTGCTTCTTATTCGCTGTTACATAGCCACATTAAAATTGTACAACACTGTGGAATATGTTGATGCTATTTAAATGACAATAAAATTAATAATAATAATGAATACTTTTGCGCCCATTTCCCTAAGCTCTGTTTACAGGAAGAACATATGATGTATTTGTTACTTGCACAGACATTCTGTGGATATGTGTTAATGTATGGTGTTCCAAAACAGTGCAAAGTACTAAAAGTGGAGCAATCACTATGGAAACCAGTTACATCACATTCCTGCCCTTTTGAAACTTTGCACCACTTGTAAGAACACAATACTATGATAAATCCCCCCTATTTGTTACATACACACATGCGTTGTCATGAACAACTTAGCAGTTGCCCTAGTGTGCTTTTATACCAGAATTTTTTAACTTGTCGATTTGTTTACCTACCCACTATAACTTTGATCTTTCAGAATTTAACTGTTGTGTGGTCTCTATTGTCTGCCAGCTATACTAACCTTGTCAGATATATTATGCCAGAAACCACCTGTGGCTCGTTTCATGACTACCTCTACCTCTGGGTCATGGTGTTCCATAAACAACCCAGGCATGCAGTAATGCACATTTTAAAGCATTATATAGATTAAAGATACATAATATTAAATATTGATATATTTTATAAGTTTACTCTACACAGCATATCCACTTCAGTGATTTGAAGTGGTCATGGTGCCTGAAGTCTGTATATGAAACATTATGCTCAGAAACATATGGAGATTAACCCCTCTGCTGCCGGCAGTTTCACCTCTGGTAGCCAGCCTGGAACAAGAGTTCTGGGTGGCTAATGTCAATCCGCTAGTCTAGACTATAAGCTCATTTGAGCAGGGTCTTTATCAACCTATTGGCCCTGTAACATTTTGTAATTGTCTTGTTTATTGTTAAAGGGACACTATAGTCACCTGAACAACTTTAGCTTAATGAAGCAGTTTTGGTGTATAGAACATGCCCCTGCAGCCTCACTGCTCAATCCTCTGCCATTTAGGAGTTAAATCCCTTTGTTTATGAACCCTAGTCACACCTCCCTGCATGTGACTTGCACAGCCTTCCATTAACACTTCCTGTAAGGAGAGCCCTATTTAGGCTTTTTTTTATTGCAAGTTCTGTTTAATTAAGATTTTCTTATCCCCTGCTATGTTAATAGCTTGCTAGACCCCGCAAGAGCCTCCTGTATGTGATTAAAGTTCAATTTAGAGACTGAGATACAATTATTTAAGGTAATTTACATCTGTTTGAAAGTAAAACCAGTTTTTTTTTTCATGCAGGCTCTGTCACCCGTAGCCAGGGGAGGTGTGGCTAGGGCTGCATAAACAGAAAAAAAGTGATTTAACTCCTAAATGACAGTGAACTGGGCAGTGAAATTGCAGGGGAATGATCTATACACTAAAACTGCTTTATTTAGCTAAAGTAATTTAGGTGACTATAGTGTTTCTTTACATTTCTCCCTTTTTGTTATATTGTAAAGTGCTGAGGAATAAGTTGTCACTATGTGAATGCCAAAAATAATATTATAATAATAATTCTGTGCAAAAGTGGCGAGTAGGAGTGACGTCAGTGGAGATATATCGAGCTGCAGGGAGAACCGGGCCTCGGTGTTTGAACGGATTTAAGCTTACATATAGGAAGGGTTACGAAGGGTTACTGTGACCAAAATAGTGCTTTATGAAAATATTGGTTTTTTTTGTTGGAATGAACCATTTAACGTTTCTGCAGGAGCAGTGACTTCTACCAAGAATAGGAATATGTTTATCTGATATGAGGCAAATCCAAAGATTCATTGTCAAGGCAGGACTCTATGGCTTAGATTTAAAGAACTACTATAAAGTCAGGAATACAAATGTGTTTTCCTGACACTTTAGCTGTAAAAACAAAGTTTAGGCCATTGCCCCACTGTTGGAAAGGTAAAAGGCTATAAACGTATTTTTTTTGCAGCGCCGCTCTGCCCCCACTCCACCTTCTTGGCTGAGATCATCAAAACTGACAATCTCAGCGAATCTAGTATTTTCCAACAGGAAAGCACTGGAATGCAATTGTACATGCGTAGCAAAATTAGCATCTCCTCATAGAGAAGTGTTGAATAAATTAGCATCTCCTCATGGTGAAGTGTTGAACGTTCCATGAGGAACGTTCAGCGCATCCACGCAGAGCAAACGTCAGTGCTGCACATTGTGGCACCTCTAGTGGCGATCTGAAAAGGCAGTGTTTACATTGCCTGCAGGGACATGGTATAGACACCAGAACAACTACATTAAGCTGTAGTTGTTCTGGTGACTATAGTGTCGTTTAACAGTACACTGAAAGAGAGGTTGAAACCTTAGCTGTCATACTTACTTGCATAGTCTGTAATAAGCCACAAACAAACAAACGCAAACAAGCAAAAGTAACTGGACGAGACTCAAAGCAAGAACACTTTGAAATAGAGAGGTGTTATTAACCTGTTTTTCCCTATGATCAGAGAGTTGAGAGTCACACCTATAATTGCCATGTCATTGCCTCGAAAGATTGATAGTTAGCTCAAAAAAAGTATATGAGGCAGAATGAAACATGAAGGAATGCTGCTACAGATTCACAGTTGGTCTATTATTGCACTTATATACATTGTGTTTGATGAACTCAAACTAAAGGTTTGATGGCATTTTTAACGAGTGGATGAAAAAAAGAAAACACTTATCTACACTTTACCTACACACATGAAACTCCGCTATAATACAGAGAAATACAAAGGACTCCAACATGTACTCCAGTAACACTCTGTGTTAGAGTGGGACTACCTGTATTAGATTATATAGATCCAATATAACAATTCTTGTTTACTGCCTGTTGCAGGTCAAAATGTGAGTCTGAAGTGGAGTGTATCTAATGTGTGTTTGAATATAGGTGTATGTATATAAGTTTTAATATATTTATATGAACATGTATTAATGGATAGATATTAATATGCACAATGTATGTATGTGTGAAAGTATATGTATTGAGTGAATATGCATAAATAAACCAAAACAGAGAGAATATATTAAGACTCTTCTTGTTACTTTTTCCAGTGTTACGGGCCCATTACATGTTTTGTGTATTTGGAGCAGAGTACCTTGGGAGATTCCACCCTGAGCTACTTGACAGAGTGATACCTAGCTCATTTTGCAAATTCAAAATGCAGATTGGTTCCATCTGCACGAGAGATACCACAAGCCTAGATTCAAAATGCAGATTGGTTCCATCTGCATGAGAGATACCACAAGCCTAGATGATCATTTTGGCCTTGGTGGGTCTTATCAATAAGGTGTGTCTGATACCACTCTAGGCACAGTGAACAAAGATTCTCATGTAGATTGCCCTGCTTACCATAAGGAGGCCCTAGTTTGGCAACAAACCAATACAAAGTGCAAGAACATATTGAGAATAGACATTATTATTATTATTATTATTATTGGCATCTATATAGCGCCAACATATTCCGTATCGCTTCACAATATTTAAAAAGGAGGGATTTAACAATAAATAAGACAATTACAAAAACGTACAGGAACAATAGGTTAGGACCCTGCTGAAACGAGCAATCTATAGGAGGTGGAGTATAAAACACAATAGGACAGGAGAAAGAAATCAAAAAAGGTGGGAGTGAAGCAGAGCTGGAGGAGAGAATAGAATGTTGCCTTTTAGGAGAGAGCAAGAGACAGGTGTGTAAGGTAGAGGTTACTCTGGGAGGCCATACACTTTCCTGAAGAGATGGATTTTAAAGGACCACTATAGGCACCGCTTCTCACTGTGATTTTCACAGTGAGAAGACACCAGCGTCCATAGGAAAGCATTGTGAATGCTTTCCTATGGACTGGCTGAATGCGTGCGCAGCTCCTGCCGTGCATGCGCATTCAGCCGAAGAGGAGGAGAGGAGGCGGAGAGGAGGAGGTGAGCTCCCCGCCCGGTGCTGGAGAAAGAGGTAAGTTTAATCCCTTCCTCCCCCCAGAGCCCGGCGGGAGGGGGACCCTGAGGGTGGGGGCACCCTCAGGGCACTATAGTGCCAGGAAAACAAGTGTTTTTCTGGCACTATAGTGGTCCTTTAAGGCACTTCTTAAACCATGGAAGACTAGGGGAGAGTCTGATGGTGATAGGCAGGCTATTCCAAAAGAAGGGAGCCGCCCAGGAGAAGTCCTGCAAGCATGAGTTGGACGTCCGTGTGCAAGCAAGGGACAGGAGAAGGTCATGGGAGGAGCGTAGAGACTGAGAAGGGGCATACTAATGGATCAGTGAAGAGATGTAGGAGGAACCAAACATACAAATAAGTAGGGTGTAAGTGAAGCATATAATGACTCCCAAAATGGGAGATAATACCACCTCAATCAAAAGCAAAGTGGATGATTCCAGATATTTTTTTCCAATCAAAGATGATTCTTTTGAGCTTGTAATAAAGCAGAAAACAGAAAATAGTGCGGATGGTAGATAAAAAAACACCATATTTATTAAGATTGCACTTACAAGATTAACGTTAAAACAGGCATGTCTCCGAATTTCTCGGATCTAGACGATGTCAATGAAAACGGTAGCCAGCTGTGTATGTTAATAAAAGGAGTCCCAGAGCAAATCAAAGCCCAGAGTCCCCTAGGTGTATCCAACACGTTTCGTTGCGTCCGACGTCTTCATGGATAAAGCAGTTGGACACAACGAAACGCTCAATTATCTCCCAGGCAGAGGAGAGGGATTGTATGCTATGTGTGGGAGTGTCTAACATTGTAAATGTGTTACTATTGGTTTGTAAGTTTGTATCCCTGTCCCCAACAAGGTCCATGTGGGCGTACACCTTACTCAGGGACTTGCATAAAAAGCCAGTGTGGCCCCATTAAAGAGAGATTAGTTTACCCCTTCATGAAGTCTTGGCTCGTGTTTGGGGGATTGGAGAACTACATTCACTCAGGGGTTTGCTATATCATAATACTCCCCTGAGTATAATTGTTCTGTCTCTAGGACAGAGAGCTAAACCTTCCTACTCCATAAACTTCAGATATTTCTTTGATCTCAAATTTATTAGAACAAGCCAGGTGAAACTACAAATTGATAGAAATAAACTTTAATCAGTAAAGTATTGCATACAACAAAGAAACAATGTTCAATAATACAGGATAACATAGCAAGAGCTCACTTTTTAAGCTCTCTCAGGGGTGATGGCTAGAGATGAGAAGTACATGGCTTGCTGTTTACTGTATCTTCCTAAAATGGAGGCTGATACACTTCCTGTACAAGTTCTGCCCATAATGCTGTGCTTTCTAACAACTTTATTAAACATACTATTCTAAATAACAAGCACAAATATAATGAATAAAGTCTGGAGGACAGAACAATAATCACTAGCTCTTATAAGAGCTGTCCCTGCTACGCTCTCTGGAATAGGAGAGTCTACCCACTGGAAGCTGGATCCTGGTCTTGGGTCCAGGGTGGGTGGAGGACAGCGACGCCCCAACCAAGCTGCGGCGGTGCGTGGGGTTTACTGTGGTTATGGTGTTCCAGTACAGTGTTTATAGTACTCGCAAGTACTAGGATGCAGCGATTGATGGAGGTACCTGGTCGGGGTGCCATGCGGTCCATCACATGGTTATATTGTTTTTGTTTTTTATTCAAGAGATGTAGGAGGGGCTAGAATAGGTTATGTACATGTATAAAGAAGTATCTGTGAATGTATATATGAATATATGTATGAATTACTTAGGGGGCACCTAAAGTTCAGGAGGCCTCACGAAACAAACCCTAAATACATCACTGGTCCGCACCCAGAGTCTCAAATAGAAACTATTAGAGTGAACTCATGTATGTGTGGAATGCAGGAATGGACAGCTCCAGGACAGTAGTGTGTAGACCGTAGAGGGGTTGGGTACCTAGACCAGGATTCATGAAGAACATTCTGCGTCTATTTCACAGAGATGCAAGGTCTTTGAGAGTCCTCCTTGTAAATTCAGAGCTCTTATAGCAACATTATGCATATGTCAGTTTAAAATGTAAATTAGCTATGCATACACACATATTTCTTTCCACTGAAAGGTGCATGTGTACGAATTCCCCCATACCATATAATACATACCAGAGTTTGCTACCGGAAAATCAGAAGAGGCAGGTATTGTAAAAGACCAACCCCAGATTTTAATAGATTTAATAATCTTGTCCCTAGATTAGAAATGTTACTCATATACCTTATTAAGCTGCAGGGTGTTGCATCTGTTGCTGGAGCTGTATAGTTCAATAGATTCTTGTTGACATTTATAAAAGTGGCTGAGAAAGTATCCCTGAAAGAGATGAATTTATCATAACACTACCACCTCTTTTGGCAGCAGTTTCCTATTTGACAGTGCATAGCATTAACATTCCCCACTGTGCTTTACAATTTTAATATGGGGTTATATTAAGAAAGAAGAGACAAACTATCACAAATGCCATCAGAAACAAGAGGTTAAAAGGATACTGCTCCAATGTGCTTAGATACTAAAATTAAATATCTGCATTAAATCTGTGTTAATTTAGTTAAATTTACAATTTTAGTCAGATTTTAGTTCAGATGACTAAAATATGACTAAAACTAAAATGGCTTTCTGGTCAAAAGACTATGACTAAAACTAAATTGAAATTTGCCGCCAAAATTAACACTGGCGGGCAGTGGCGTACACATGACCCATGGGGCCCCCGGTGCGAAAATTGATCCGTTGGCCCCCTGAACTTACTCGGAGCAGGTCGGGGCCGCAATACATGGCGGCAGGCACCTGGTTGCAGGGGTTGCAGGGCTGCAACCCCTGCGACCGCGGTATGCACACACTTAAAGGACCACTACAGACACCCAGATCACATCAGCTCAATGAAGTGGTCTGGGTGCCAGGTCCCTCTAGTTTTAACCCTGCAGCTGAAAACATAGCCTTTTCAGAGAAACGGCTATGTTTCACTGAGGGTTAATCCAGCCTCTAGTGGCTGTCTCATTGACAGCCGCCAGAGGTGCTTCCGCGATTCTCACTGTGAAAATCACAGTGAGAAGACACTGAACGTCCATAGGAAAGCATTGAGTAATGCTTTCCTATGGGCGGTTTGAATGCGCGCGCACCTCTTGCCGCGCATGTGCATTCGGAGCTGAGAAGTGGAGGGATCCCCAGTGCCAAGGGAGTCTAGCGCTGGAGAAAGGTAAATGCTGAAGACACACACACACACTCTCATGAACAGACGCATACATACACACTCACTTACAAAACAAACACTCTAACTGACAAACACACACTCAGTAACAGACATCAAACGCACTCACTTACACATACT